CCTAGGCAGTCTGGGAACTACAGAGAAGAGTGTCAGCACACAGGGCTTGGGGACACAAGAGGGGATGAAAGCAAGGTCAGCAAACAGATTACATCATGATCTAAGACGTAAACCATTGAGCACCCAAAACCTATAGCTCCAGGATGCTCTGAAGGTGTCCTACACCCATACAGAACTCAGGATGGGACAGTCATTGGTTCTTAAGAGAGCTATTTACAATTGAGGCCTGCATTCTGTCCTCCCATAGCTTCCTTTCAGCTCTTTCTTTTAAGGATCACAGTTTCTGATAGTTTTGTGCTGATTGTGATAGTGGAATATTTATTTGAGAGGGGGGAAAAAAGAATTACAACTTCAAAGTAAAGGGCAGATGACCCAGCATTTAAGTTCTGACCATCAACAAAATAGATACCACCACAGCTAGAAATCATACCTGTCAGTAACTGGAGAAAGGGAGAGTCATTTTCCTCTTCAAAGATTCTGGATGAGAACTCAGAAGTCACACCAACTAGATCAACCCAATGTTTCATGCAACCACAACACTATCTAGTCCAGATGACTGCTTCCAAAGAAGTTTATGAATGTGACTGCAAATCATCTTCCTTGATGTCAAACCAGCAAGCCCCATGGATCCACCTGTCTCCACCACTCCAATACTGGGATTAAAAGTATGTGCCACCATGCCTGTTTTTGCTTTGTTTTTTCTTTAACACAGATTAAGGGTTTTGAACTTAGGTCCTTTGCTTGCAAGACAAGCACTTTATCCAGGGAAGCAGCTTAATGGTTATTAAACACATTGCATATCAGGGTGTAAATGATGCTTAAAATAATCTCACAGTATGAGCATATGCTCTCTGCTCAGTGACTGCTCTAGAAGAGACAATAACTGTCCATTTCATGAGATAACTTAAAAATGTCAATAGGATGCAAGAATTTCCAAAGGTGAATTTCATAATTTGTTAGGAAGCGTGATTAGGTAACACACCCTTATCTAACCCATCTTATCCTAGATATTATTCTTTTTAGGATCTTGTCAATTATCACCAAGTTAATGAACAGAAAAGTTACAAATTTGTTAAAACTTTTGCCAATTATCTTGAAAGTTAACTTTTTTTTAAACTGATGGCTATCCATAAATGATAAAATTTTGGAGCTTTCTTGTTTCTGTGCACTTATATGGACAGTATCTTATTTTACCTCTTAATATCTTATGCAACAGGAAGAGTCTAATGTCAAGTGTCCATCTGGCAAGTATGAGCATACACAGAGATAACCAGGGTACCTGGTTCTCAGGGCTACAGAGCTGATCAATGAAAGCTTCAATGAAGGTGAGCTTCTCCCACTTCATTCAATACATTCAGAATTATTGTTCCTAGATTATTGTGCTCAAGTAAAATTTGGAAAGTATTTCAGAGAGGGCTGGAGCAATAGCTCTGCAGTTACGAGCACTGGCTGCTCTTCCAGAGGACCTGGATTCATTTCCTACCACCCACATGGTAGCTTACAACCATCTGTAACTCTGGGCCCAGGGAATTCAGTGCCCTCTCCTGGCTTCCAGAGGCACCTGCATGCACTCAGTACACAGACATACATGCAGGGAAAACGTCAAAGACATAAAATAAAAACAATGAAAAATATTTCAGAAAGCCTCACATAAGGTTGCCACATTTTGTACTTTTCTTTTTTAAATATTTATTTATTATTTATACAGAGTTCTGCCTCTATGTATGCCTACAGACCAGAAGAGGGTACCTGATCTCATTATAGATGGTTGTGAACCACCATGCAGTTGCCGGGAATTGAACTCAGGACCTCTGGAAGAGCAGTCAGTGCTCTTAACCTCTGAGCCATTTCTCCAGCCCCCACATTTTGTATTTTTCAAGTAAAGAAATTCATCAAACTTCTACCTACTACTCTTATCACATCATTAAACTGTCCTTGTTTGTTTGACCTCAATACAAAACTATAATTTTTGACAAAATGTCATTCTTTTTTTTTTTTTTTTTTTTTTTTTTTTGGTTTTTTTCGAGACAGAGTTTCTCTGTGTAGCTTTGCGCCTTTCCTGGAACTCACTTGGTAGCCCAGGTTGGCCTCAAACTCACAGAGATCCGCCTGCCTCTGCCTCCCGAGTGCTGGGATTAAAGGCGTGCGCCACCACCGCCCGGCCAAAATGTCATTCTTAAATTGATAAAATATGCTTTATGGGAAGCCGTTATATTCTATGTATATGTATATGTTCTCATTCTTTAAAGCCCTCTGAGTAGGAGCTAAGTCCAGGCTAACGCAGTTCGTGGAAAGCACACCCTCCCAGGGGTTGCTTTAACAGTCACTCAGCTCCTCTGTGTCCACGTCTTTTCCTTCCTGCATCTCATCATTTTGAAACCCAGTGCTAAGTTTTTCCTCTGGGAGGAAGGGATGTAGCTCAGGGGTAGAGTATTTGCCTACCACGCATGAGAGCCTGGATTTTATCTTCAAAATTATTTTTCAAATTTGGGGCAGAGGACAAGGGATGACCTGAGTTGATAAGAGTGCTTGTCTAGTATGCACAAGCTTTGAGCTCAATCTCAAGTACCAGATAAACCAGGTTTGGTGAGACACATCTATAACCCTAGCCCTTGAGAAGGGGAGGTAGGAAGAAGTTCAAGGCTATTCTGAGATATAGAGTGAGTTTTAGGCCAGTCTAGGCTATACGAGACCCTCTCTGAAAAAATGTTCTATTCCTTTTCAAATGTTCTTCTTCTACTGCCTATAATGAAATGATGAGTATTAAAAATTTACATATGGTCAAGACACAGAGCGGTTGACCTGACTGCAGTGAGGGCTGGCGGGGACTGCTGACGTGACTGCAGTGAGGGCTGGCGGGGACTGCTGACGTGACTGCAGTGAGGGCTGGCGGGGATTGCTGACCTGACTGCAGTGAGGGCTGACGGGGACTCAGGAACCATGAGTGACACGGTACCTGTCACAGTGCCCTGTAGAAACCGGAAGTCACTTCTCCTTTCCCACCCACTTTCAACCGTATCCAAGTAAATGAATTAGCAAGTTGATACTTGACCAAGCACAGTCTGGAGTGCATCTGTCCCAATTCTCATTTGTATTCCTCCGCCCAGACCTAATTCTGTAGTCTGCCTTAAGTTCCCAAGCTTTATGTGAGATATACACATAATTTGATAGACTACCATTATGTTGTCAATATATACATTTTGTACATCAAAAGAAATAATTATCAACTCCCACACTACCTTACAATCATGATCAATGCATGGTCTTCTATAGGCCATCTTCTTTGATGACCTTCCAGTTTTGGAAAAGAACCACATGGATAGTGAAGTGAGAGGCTGAGATACCCATCTAGGGCCCCATCATCCAAGACCGAGATCACTGACACAGCAAGACAATCTCTATGCTTAAGCACAAGCCAAGCCCATGGAGGGCTATCAATGGTTGCTTGGCAAGGAAGTCTTTCTTTCTTTAATGAGTATAAAGTTCAATAGAGACAGTGCCACAGTTCCCAAGAATTGTACACCCTTTTCTATTCCTTTAAAATATACAAATGTTCAAACACAATAAAAATATTTTCCAATATTATGTATCACTAAATGGCCACACAATAATATGTACATTTATATATGTATTTTACAGCACATAAAATACCTTAACGTAATGTATGTTATTATGTTAAGAATTTTCAGATGTGTAATTTACTTCTATTTTATTGAAGAATGAACAGGCTTGGGGGGAGGTGAGATAATTCATTCAGAGTCACAGAAATAGGAGTGAGGATTGGAATGTAGCTCCTTCCACTCGGCATATCCTTCCCAAGAGTCTGCTCTTGGTTGAGCAAGACTAAAGGAGCCCCATCAGGGCAGAGAGTCAGCCTGACAATAACCAGAGGAAAGCAGCAGCCCATACTGTTAAAAGTTGGGAGGTTGATGGTCTTCTTCAGCTTCCTCATCACCAATAAATGTACAATCTCCTTATTGGGCTCTTTAGAGTGCAGCACATAAACCAACCAATCCAGCATAGCCACAAAGCGAGGGCAAGCACACTGGCCATTCATAAAAGAGAGTACTTAGGAACACTTTCATTATACCCACTCTTCAAAAAAGTGATGTTGTGGTAACACTAAATTAATTTTTTTTTTCAGGAAAATTGTTAATCACATATTTTTGTTGTTTATATGGTATGCAAGAACACTTCAAACTATTAAAATACATTATTTATAATTTATAGCTTAGAAACAAAAAGGATAGCCAAAATAATAAGAAACTAGTAAATATCAAGGTATTAATGATAACTTGCTGTTTAAAAATACTGCATGCAATGTTCACACAAAAAAAGACCTGTCTATTTTGACTAGACTAGTCTTAGAAAAATTAGGATGGTCTTCTTTGAAATACGACTATTGTCAATTCAAATCAAAAGTATGAATAGTATAAACCAATGGTAATAAGATAATCGTGAATATAGGCTTTGTTGTTTTATAGATATTTTCATACCTTGTTAGAGGTTCTGTTTGTGGCTTTTATAAAATAGGGCCATTAAAGGAGCCATTTCTAACACAGAGTAAAACAAGCACACTAGGTATCATTATGTCTTTGTTGCCAGCTCCTATCATTTAGACTGATTAAAATGTTAATTTTTACCTACGTGACTAAACCGAAGTCACAAACAAGCCGGGCTGCACGGTGCACTCCATGTCATTGCGGGTGGGTAAACTGACAACGTGTAACTGCACATTAAGACAAATGTAGGATTTAGACAAAGTATCCCGTCTGCTTTCAGATGTAGACTTTCAAACCTCAGGAAGGTTTTCAGTAGATGTCATGCCTTTTAACTTGAAAAAAGATAAGCGCAAATAAGCTCCCAATTGTCTCCCCAATATGTAAACCACATCTCGGGCTGCTGTCTCTGCTGCTCCTTTGAAGTTCCGCTGAAATGTCATGTGTTGTGAAGACTGCTGTGCATAAGCAAGACAATTTGCTCACTTTCAGAATTCTTACCGGTCTCCACTGCTATCTGGTACCCAGCCTCTAGTCTCCGCGATGACCTTTCCAGCCTCTCCGTGTTATCCAGCAGATGTGCCCTCTGAAACGAAGGGGGAGTCAGACGGATGGCTACAAGGTTCTTTTTTGCCTTTTAAAAAAATAATGCCTTTGTATGTCCAAAATGGGGGGGGGGGGGGTGTCCACAATCCATTACAGTTAAATTTTAGCAGATAGTTCATCAGAGGAACCACAACAATGGATAGATTTCTAATCAAACATGCACGGATCATCCACTTGTTTGTTGTTGTTGTTATTTATTTTTTTTTTTTAAGGAGCCCCTTGTTATGAGTGGACACAACAAATCTTACTCCACACCACTGAGAAATACATGAAGAGCAGAGCCAACTGGATCTTTCCCATTTTAACACAGATGAGACACACAGTGCTGTGGTCCCTATTTGTGTTTAGTTTTACAACATGCAGTCATTTCCAACACCTACCTGGTCCTTTGATTTCTGCAAATCATAATTTTTAAACAAGAACTTTTTATTTTTAAGAGAATGCTTCTTATTTTGGATGTGTAGCAAGATGGCACATGGAACAATAACGCTACTGAAACAGAATGCTAAACAGCACTTCTAGCTCAAAGACAACACAGGACAACCACCAAAGAACAGGAAATACACAGGATTTATATGGTATGGTGATAACTGCTAATTTATCCCTAAATTTACAACACTAGGTTAAAGTGAACGGCTAACACATAGTGCTTTGTGAACTAAAATCACAATCAACTCTTTGAAATAAAATTATATACAACTCTTTCATATTATATCTCATGAGCAAATTAGAGAACTTCCCCAATATTCTAAACTTTCCTTTCTACATTGAGACTTTATAAATGTTTTTGATCTCACAGCAGATATATATTCACATTACCAAAACAGATTCACAGGCTAACCATGTCTATGAATGAATGGTATATGCATGTGGTATACATATATGTATGTTTAGACACCTAAAAACACATGAATATGTGCGCCTGTATATTTGGTTGTGGGCAGTTTAATGTGTAGATGTATTTGTATAAATTAGTATCTCTTGCCCTCAAATCAATTTTGGTGTCTGGTCAAAGAGAAAGAAAAACATGCAGCCATAACTATATAACTTTGTGTTGTTGACAGATGTCACTTAAAATTGAAGCAATGCTTTCCAATAATAATAAAAAAGGAGGTGCCACATGCATTATCTGAGTGGCTGTCGAGTGAAATGATCTACCTTGCTCTAATGAGCCCCCATGGATCTTGGAGATGCAAGCTGTATTGACATGCACACTTAAGCTAATACACCTAGACCAGTGCCTCCAAGCTCTAGCAGCCAGGGATGCTGACAGAATATCTCGCTTCCATCTTCAAAGAAAGGAAGTGATTAGTATGTTATCATTACCATTCAAAACGTGATTTCCTTATTCCCTCCCGGCACAGGTGACACATCTGAGATGCGGCCAGACGTTAGAGGCAGCTAAAGCCACATCAAAGCTTTCCTTGAAAAATTTTTGGGGGGAAGGGTTGGGGGGAGAATCATTAAAACAATGCTTTTAGAACAGAGAGACAAGACCTGATGTGAAGGTCAGGAAGCAGCAAGAGCATTCTATAATAATTAATAGAGTTGTCTAATATACAGCGCAGAAATGAAGAGAAATACTGCCCCTCCTTCTAGAAAATAAACGAAATAAATAAAATGGAGGAAGGGAGAAAAAGCTCCTTAGGTCACAAAAAGCAAACTCACTGAAGGCTGCAACAGAGAAAGGAACACTGGTGCTCTGTGTTCGCACGACTATTTCTAAATAAAACTTAATAGTACCAAAGCTTGCCAAAAAACCATGTCTTTAATTCTGATTCTCCTTATATACAGGTCCTGGGAGTAAAAACTGCTTTTCCCTCCTCTGAATATTGTTTTCTACCCAAACAAAGGACTTCAAATTGGTGATCCTCTAAAAAAATACCAATCTGATCCAAGAAAGCAAGAGTAACTATGAGTTTTAGTCCGGATGAAGACAATTTGGGGCTTATTTTCATGTTGTATGAAATCCTAAATTCAAAGAAGACATTTAGCTTAATAGAGATTAAAAAAAATCATAGACTATACTGGAGTTGTCTCTTCATCTATGCTTATATATGACGGAAGCACAAAAGCCTAACATGTGCAGAATAAAGTGTTTAAATGCGGGACAATTTGGGAGACTCTAGAGCTACTCGGGAAGCCGAATGTCCAAGTGAACACTAAACACTGCACATGCTGAACTGAGTAACGGAAGCAACTGCTTCTTCTGGAGAGTCTCAGTCTCTCTCTCAGTCAGTCTCTCTCTCTCTCTCTCTCTCTCTCTCTCTCTCTCTCTCTCTCTCTCTCTCTCTCTCTCAGTCAGTCTCTCTCTCTCTCTCTCTCTCTCTCTCTCTCTCTCTCTCTCTCTCAGTCAGTCTCTCTCTCTCTCTCTCTCTCTCTCTCTCTCTCTCTCTCTCTCTCTCTCTCTCTCTCTCTCTCTCTCTTTCCCAGAGAAAATCTGCACCCAACAGAATGATCAGTTCACGGGCAGCTTCCCAGAAGGGTTTCCCTTCGTATTTTCAAACTTCTTCACTGAAGTCAAACTAAAATCAAGTTCTTGTAACAGCCTCGCTATTACATTGTTCCCTCCGCTGTCCACTGCCTCCGCCGTTTCAATGAAAGCAGCTGCAGTGCAGTGCGCAGAGGCTTTCAACGTGCCCCACACTCCACCCCAAACTCATTCTCTCACCCTCTTCTGGGCCTTTTCAAAGCAGGTGAGTGAAGCTGTGCAGGAGCTTCAGATGGAACTCAGCTTGTGTGAGGAGCTGTGCAAAGAGGAAAGATGGGGATGCAGGATTCCAACAGCTCGGCACAGCCAATGCCAGATCAGCTCCCTCTGCACTACGACCCTGCCTCCAAGCACTCCCTGAAAAGAGCATCAGGAGAAGGACGGCACATTGTGTTTCCAAACACAACAAAACTCTGTATTTTGGAACAGATAGGTGCCTGTCTTCTTAGGAGAGGTGCAAGTAAAATTGGGGTAACATTCACTGTATGAGCATGAATAAATCCTGACTAGGAGAAGAGCCCTTCTGAGAAATTTCCATTCAAGCTCAGTGGATCACCTAATCCATAAGTATTTGTGTTGCAAACAAATCAAAGACACAGACAATACTATTCCTGAGATTGTCATTCTATCACCCAAATGATCTAATTCTCCTGATAATAATTCTGCCACAGAACAGTTTCAGAAACATCAACCATGGTACTGAAACATACACAGCTGTTGACATAGAAAAACAAGAGAAAAATTATCAAGTAATGGTATATTACAAAAGAGATGGGGATATGATTTTCAGCTTTTAGAATTAAGAATTCCTCTGATCCTGCACCACAGCATGACAACAATCTGGCCAGAATTATACTTGTTATTATAAAGCACAGGAATTTTGTCCATCAGATCACTGTCCATTCAGGATCAAGAGCTTTGTGGAGGTTCTTTGAATGTGGTATATGTGCATGTGGGTTCGTGTATGTGTGTGCATGTGTGTGTGCATGTGTGTGTGCATGTGTGTCCATTAATTCAAATCTACTGTTCATTTCAACATTTGAACATTCAGATTCCTCAGCAAAGGGTAGGGATCTCTAAATACACAAAACAGACAGTCTACCTCTCAGGGAAAAATGTTTGTGTCATCACTCACTCATTCAGAGTAATCAACAGTGTAACTAATTATACTGATTTAGTATATACATATATACATATACTTCCATGTTGGAAAGGAAAAAAATAAAACCAAAATGTGAGAGGCTATTGGTATGCCTTCTCCCTTCAGTTTATATGCCATTATCACTTTAGCTAAGCTAGGAGCTCACTCATGCGTTTCAATCAGGAGAGTTGTTCAAACCACAGTTCACAAGCCTCGGAATCAACATATCCAGCACCCACAGAATAGCAGCCCACCATAGGAACCATCCAGGAAAGCTACAGTCAATGTGCTCAACCAAACTACTGTGACTCCCATGAGCAAGAGGACTATTCTATGTCCTTGTGGGAAAACAAAACAGCGTTACTCTATAAAAATTATCTCGGAAAAAATGAATCAAAGCATTGTTGGTGGGTTTGACCCAGAGTCATTTGGCCAGAGTCGCAGGTGCTGCTGCAGGGATTTATCAGGCCCCCAAAGAGTCTGGAGCAGCACTCAGAAAAAGGAGAACTCATTTGAGGGCTGTTTCCAACAGAAAGGAAAGTGCTTAACAGTCAAGCAAGATTGCTGCTGTCAGGCGTCCTTGCGCCAGAGCAAGGGCATTTATAATGCACATGTTTTCCATGGCATCTTACATGGAACCCTTGAATCTAGGGGTGGGTGATGTTTTCAGTAAAGTAAATCAGGACCAGGGGATAAAAAAAGGAACTCATACTAACTTCATTGAGAAACTAACACAAATAAGACAAATCCAAAGGCCTCACAAACAACAAAGCTCTGCACAGTTTTAAGATATGCCCCCTCCCTTCCTTGTTTTTTGGCTTGCAAATATTAACTTCCTCTCAATGCCAACAAAGAACAGCGCCCCCCAACAAGCACAACTGAAGACAGTTGTTTGGAGAAGACCGTCAGAGGAGAAGCGGGCTGAAGTCAAAAAGTCAACAGTTTTGTCAAGTGTACATTTCCCCGGAAAAATGAATACAAGATCCACTTGAGATTTAGAAAATAAATTTTATAAGAAACAGTAGAACTAAGGAGAAAAAAAAAAGTAAGCTGGGAAATACTTACCTCTTCACGTAATTTTATCAACTGCAACATGAATGCACCAAAAAAAAAGAAAAAAAGATAAAAAGGGAAGACATGGCAGGAAAGAAAGATCAGTTGTGTGACAGGATACAGAATTAACATTGACAATTCATCTGTTTACATGTTTAGCATTTAAAAATCACAGACAAACACATTAAAAGAACCTAAGCATAGACTACATGCAGGGGTTTTTGAACAAATAAAGATCACTTTCTCACACTGTCACATTAAACAAAGAGAATAGTGTGAAATTCTCTTTTAAAGTACATCTAAGAACCATCATGAAATAAAGGGGAACGACTTCATAGAAGTCTATATTATAAAAAAAGAAAACAAGTTTACTGCGTCTCTCTTCTAAGAATGCACCATTAGAGAGGCTTTGTATATACAAGATTTCAGGATGTTTCTCTATTTGGAGACTTGACAACCGATTTCAGATTTTACCAACAAATGAAAATGATCAGTAGTTCATGCTTTGGCTCCAGTAACTATTTAAAACAACAACAACAAAAATAACCTACTATTATTTCCTGGCTTAATGCCCTACTGGCACCCATTATAATGATAGGCTGCAGTGGGTTAACTCTATTTCAGCTGAGAATCCGCCAAAGTATATATATATATATATAAAGTACCTATCAGAAGAGTTAATGTCAAGAGTCGTGGTTTTTCTTAAATAATACAGCACTCACTGGGTGTGTTTTTATTTGACTTTTTTTCCTTTACTTTCTAGTAATCTTAACTTTCAAACTGGGACATATCAAAGCAAGGAACCCTCTTACCGTGTTTGTCCTGTGGTCCATTTTCATTAGGTCAAATAAAAAACTACTCTTTCGTTAGTAAGTTCTCCTATGGTAACATTTCAATCCCCTACCTTTTCCTATTTTTATAACTGTAACAGATTATAGCAAGCTTCTAGAAACCAAGAATCTATGAAATCTATAAACATGGCCCATTCTGGGTATGTGTTTGACATCATTCTAAACCACAAACATAGCTGCATTGTTAAAATTACTACCACAGTTTCTACAATGAACAGAATAGAAGCCCGTGCCACAACAGACTATGAGCCACATTCTAGGTTTAAAATTTGCATCCTCAGCCATTCAGGACTACAACTGATAATTTTTAAACATCCAAGTGTCTGTAACATCTGTTACAATACTTGACACATGTAGGCCAATAAATTAAATGATTTCTTTGGAGAAATGTGCTATGAATCGTTCACTATAATTCTCTCTAAAAGTATCATGTTTACCATAACCCTGAATTCTCAACACTTAATGCTGTTTTAGTGTCAAATCCAAGGAGGACAAGTATGCATTTCAGCTTATTCTGTTATTTCATTTGTTATAGGAAAAGTACTTCCAATCTAGAAGGAAGAGATTCAAATTGTCATAAACTCCTTATAGAAAGGGTTTAGAATTTATTGTATGGCACCTTAGTCTGCACTTAGCAAAAATTTAAATGTCAAAATATTAATGTCATAGTTTGGACCAGACAAAAAGCTATTGTTTTTAAATATACTCATTCCCTTCCCCACAACCATCCAGTGTAGACTGTCTCGTTTCTTCACGTGGAAAGCGACAAATATCCAGTGCAGACTGTCTCATCTTTCACATGGGCAGCGACAAAGTTGTTCTCTAGACGAAGTTAAAATTTAAACTAAGATACCTAGCTTAGCACATATTGGAATCTTTCTCTTTGTCATTTGAACATCACGGGAGAAAAACTGCAAACCCTAAATCTCAGAGAGAGACGATGTGGGAATTGATCGCAAGGCTCTTTTCTTTCTGGGACACTATTCTTCAGTTGACTATGATACTTAAGGGGCCAAAGTTTAAAACTACTCTTCAGCAATAGAGTCCATCGGGGCATGCCACCCTGCCATAAGCAAGGGTGTTTAAAAATGCTACCCATTTGCTTTTTCAATGGGTCCCAAACAAAAAAACGTTCTATCTTGTTTGTGCTGCATGGCTGCATTCAAGCTCCACACCGGATTTGTAGCTAAGCTAGGTAAAGGGAGGTTTCTAAGCTTCATCCTTTTCCCCCCTTTCCTTTTTTTGGTTAGGCTGAGAGTTATGCATTGAAGTAAACAAAGATGGTAGCTTTTTGAAAATTAACAATGCTTAGACTCCACTAGAAGTAGTGATTTGGATATTTATCGAGTTCCTAGCTCCATCACAGTCGCCATGAAAGTGTGCAAAACCATCATGTTGGCTTATGGTAATCCACATCTTTTTTTTTTTTTTTGAAACAAAGATTTCTCCCCACAACCCCACCCGGAATGCAGAATTTGATACAAGAGGTAATCTGTTCCTTTGTGGGCTGAAAAAAAATCTGGTTTACGCTGGTTTGAACCAGTGGAATCTCTTGTGGTTAAGCCTTCTGCTGTGACTAAAATCAAAACTGCACTGTGGAGCATGCGAGGGTGGGTGTGCGCGCGCGCCTTGGTGTGTATGGTGTGAGGCGCATCACGTGACTCCCAGAACTCCCGAATTTTTTTAAAGCTGATAACGCCACTGCCGTCTCTGTCCGCATACAGATAACGAATAAATGCTGAACTCTATTAACCGCCCTTTACACATTATCGTGGGTCGAACACACAATTTTCTGAACTTATGATGACAGTCTATTTATTTTGCTAGAAACCCCCAGCACGAACGAGCAGATTTGTGCCTGGTAATGATCTGCTCTGCCGGGGCTATATGAAATGATACCGACCTTCTTCAGATCTTGCGGAATTAAATTGACCGACTTCACCCCCTGGTCTGTAGCTGAAGTTTGACACACTTTACGCACAGCAAGCCCAAATCGGAACTTAAGAGAACCTTGTATTAAAAAATTAAGCAATCATTATCTGTTAAATATTGCTTTACCACAAAAACTTCATCATGTTGGGAACTATTCTACCCTTTATATATTTTAAAAAATCTTCTTTGTAGGATTTTCTCAAAGTCACTGGATCAATATAATTTTGCATATGGCAACAGAGAGTCTGTTAGTGTCCAAAATTCTGTCACCACTTCCATACTCTGCTCTCAAAGTCTATGGTTTTGTTCTATAGTCTGTTTTTTGTTTATTTTGAGAAGGGTCCTCAGGAAAGGAAATCAAGCTAAGAACTATTAAGCTTTCCACTCTGAGTAAATGCTGCATCACTGCATCCACTAGCTCAGCTCTCAAGGAAATTAAACACTGCACACTGGAGGGCAGATGAAGAATGCTTGGGACACTCATTCTTGGGAAGACAGGGACCAGGTCCTCAGCACTTACAGGTACAAAGCAGATTTTGTCCCCTTCCTCTTTTTTTGGTAAATCCAGGATGAGGTATATTTAATTGAATGAAATAGCTATGAGTGAGAAAGAAATTGCACAGTGGAGTTGATTTGGAAAGCGATTAAATGGATATTGTGCTGAGGACATTAAAAACACTCTTGAAAAATCCTTAGTTGTACAGACAGTGGCATTCTCAATCATGGCTGAAGTAGAAATATACCCCAAAGTAAATTATTGTCATTGGTAGCCAGCTAGAAGTTCATAGCCATGTGCATCAACAGTCAGTTGTAGACGTCTAACAGAACTGGCCACAAATGCCAAAGAGATAGAGCTAATTGCTACTGTATTCACACTTGTCCAGCCAGTCACAAGGAAACCACAGTATGGAGTGGGTGCACAAGGCACTGGAAACACGTTTGCCGTCATACTAACTGATTGTTTATTTTTTTTTTCCCCTTACAATCACTCTATATATTTAGTTGACAGATATATGCTAATTTAAGCGACTATGACTAATTTTGTTTATACCCAAGCTTTATGTGTATATTAAAAGTATATCATAAATATATGACAAGAAGGCCTGAAAACCAGCGTGTTAACAATCCTCGTGAACATAAATTCTTTCTGGGTAGAAGAGTTTCTTATATAGATTGTGGGTAGTCCTCCCACCCAGAACACCCATCTTCATAGCTTCTGCTCTATAAAAATGTATACGAAGAGCCATTAAAACCTTTTCTGTAGAGAGACCTTCTGCTTTTACTGCTGAGTCAGAATAAGACTGATAGAGAATAAAAGTTATTTTCAAGTGACATCTGAAGCCACTGGTTAAGGGTGTGCTCATTTAAATTCCTACATTATGACAAAGAGTCTCAACACAGGATTTAATGACTTCATCGTGGTATGGAAATTCTGCTCTGCATGGTAACAAATTATCCAAAAAGCTTAGCATGATCTCTTTGAACTTTCACACCTCATTCGAATTTTAGGCTGAGAAGTTCACCTGAGTCCTAATCTACCATTTACGTGTTCTCACGGCTGTAACGCGCCCTGCTGCATTTACTGGAGTGACAGCCGCTCACAGCCAACTTCCGGCTCCCCGAGCACTCGCCGAATTTCTAAGTTTGACTCATATAAGTCCAGGGGAAATCTCTGCATAATCACTTTAAAGTGACAGAGATATAATTTGAAAAATTCAGAAACTATGAGCTCAAATCTATTATTGTGGAATATGTTTCTTTAGGCATAAGAATCATACTTATACGCACGTAAGGCTAATGTTTTAGGTGCACTAAATGTCCATTAAGAGAAGTGAACAAGCTTTAAAAAGGCTGCTGTCAGGGAACTGCACCGCCAGTGCAGTGGAAGCCTGGGCTAGACAGCGCGCCCGCCTTCCTGTGCCTTCTCCATCAGCCAGGGCTCCAGACAGGGAAGCACAGCTTCCTTCCAAAAGAACTACATGGAAGCTACACATACACTTATTTTTGGTTTTTTATTTTGCATAAAAGATAATGCCTTTTTTTTTAACAGTCGTTAGAGAAGAAAGCTGTGATTCATTCATCCATGAGGCATGCATAATTCAAACGCCACTTTTAAAAGGCAGAAAATATTTTCTCATTCTCACATTATTTAATCTATTATGAGTAAAACCCCCTCACAACATTACCGCTCACTTTCCTTCTGCCCCACCCCACTTCAGCTGCTCTCACATTTCAGTGAGGGAAGTTGAAACTGCAAGTCAAATCTGAGAGATGTCTGAATTCAGGCTGATACCATCCAAATAGTGAAGAAGGTGAACAAAACAAACGGCCTGCTCGGTAATAATTCTCCCATTTTTTTCTGGTGGATGGATGGGTGCCTTTGTCACACCAGCCTCCTCCCAGGTTACAATGCTCACACGCTGGTGGTGTGTAATTTAGTATCAGTAAACATAAACTCCTTGAAGTGGGAAGTGCATTCTGCAAATTTCAGCATATTGGACGGATGTGCTACATCTTCCTATCAAATCACAGTTCTGTTTTACCCAGTGAGTGGTTCATGTAGGCTGAGAAGCAACCCTTGGAAGACCTGCCTTAGTAAACACATGTAGGTCTTACCTATGATGCTCCCTGTTACCCATCAGTCCCCAGGGTTGTGTGAGACTTTTCAAAATCAGTTCTACACCAAGCAAGCGTCTTGAAACACTTTTTGAAAGAGTTGTATACATCATATATGAACTATGTGAACTTATGATGTCTGCAGCATTAATTCAAAGAAAGTAGTAGGATGCTAATTAGACTCATGACATGACTGTGCCGTCCAATGAGGAATGGCAGACAAGTTGCAAGAGCCTTTGAGGAGGAGTTGTATCATCTCTTTTTCTCTGTCTGCAGATCCTAAGGTGCACACAGAGCTTACCCTACTGCTACTGTCACTCGGTCACTCGGTCACTCGACAGAAGCAGAGCAGGCCTCTGCCTGGGTGTGCACAAAGTCCCACACTCGTGCTAGGCATTTGCATTTTGGTGAATGTATTTTTAAGAAGCGACACAATAGGAGCCAGGGCTGGGCTGAATTTTGAAAGCTTACTTTCATTTGTTTTGCTGCGAGTGTTGATTTAATTATGCTGCATTCCTATCAAAGCTGCATTATGTACTTTTTTATTCCTCTTACATGTGTTTGAGGTGAAGACCTTGGCTTTGTCTGCAAACAGCGTGTTTCAAGTTATTCCTTAAGTACTAAATAATAAAGAAAAGAGAAGAAAAGAGTTTTTAAAAGATAGCAGACAGTGATCACAAGGTAAAGGGTTAAATGTAAGATCTCCAAGAAACATTTTGAAGTTGATTAAGACTCCAGCTTTGCATTAAACAGTATCGCTTCCACATGAGTTGCTGCTAATACTGTTAGGGAGCAGCTTGAGAGCCCAGTGTGCCTGTGACCTCCTTCACCCTCCAGCCACCCACCGGGCCTTCCTCATTAGCATTCTACCTGGTTCTCTGAGGAATTCCCATCATCCCCTAGGAGCTCATTCCGTACTTCGTCACTGTAGGCGATCCGTGACCTTTTCTATAAAACAAAACAAAAAGGGAAGAGCGAGATGAACGTTAGAAAGTCAATGTATCCGAGCATTATTGGTATCAAGGCACGGCGTCTCAAACCCTCGGGAGCCCCCTAATGGAAACCTACCAGCAGAAATGAGCAAACGTAACTCAAAGTTCCAGAACCCAGGAGCTTAATGGAAATTAGAAGTTTGTTTTAAAAAGAAAGACCAACAACGAAAGAAATTTCTGCTTTGTGCTAATGTTCTATTATTTTTCATAAGCAGACTAGAATTAATTTACTTTTCTGTATGTTGTTTGAATAAAACCACTAAACTGGAAGAAATACAGTTCTATAGCTGTACAGTTTTAAAACTCACAGATTATAATTAAAACAGGAGTGTATGGGAGTCTCGGTAGGAAATGTATTGTACGATTTGGAGCTCTAAAAATCTCTACTTCTAGGGTAATACTCATCTCACCAACTGTACACTGGGATGCCTGGACAAGCACATCTCTATTTCATCGTTGTGATGTTACTGTCCAGGAAGAGAAGGGATTGTAAAACCATTCCCTAGCTAGCAGCAATTCAAACGTCGTCTCCAACTCCTCTCTAAACAATGGCCTAAGGAAAGTAACATTGGTGAGGAAAGGGAGAGAAAGTGGGGGAAGGGGAGCAGACAGACAGACACTGGTAAAGCAAACACATTTCCCAATGCCCGTAACTAATGGCAGTGGGCTACGAGTAAACATTTCCAATGAAACTGTGTTTGTGTGGCCCCTACCCTCACCTGTGCAGTCAGAGGGGCATGGCTCTAAGCAACTCATGTGTTATCTAAATACACACACTTGGGAAAGCTGGGAGGCTCGGAAAATTAGTTATGAAACTTGAGTCTGGTTATCAGTCCCTATTTCATCTTCACCAGCTCAGGGTCAAAGGTCATTTTGTTGCCTATTCTGCTTCTCAACTAATTAAGTAAATATGGTCCATTAGAAAATGGATGGGGGGAAGCTGTTATGTCTTTCCCGGGCTCCTACAGTCTACGACTTAAAGTTCTTACTTGTTCATCTATGATCTGGAAAAAAGTATTATAGTTTCAAAGGACTACCTGTAATCCATAAGCAAAAGGCAACAGGAAGATTTTGATTCGATTTTTACAGTAGTCAATGAGTAATGCTGCTTGTTCTCAATCAGCTCATTATACCTTCAATCATATTATTTAAAGGAACCTCAGACAAGAACAACCACTGAGTTTCAGATCCTTTAAAAAATCTAGCCTTTCCCAAGTGGGTGCCTTATCTGAAGCACAAAACACAGGAAATACTTTTTTGGACTATTTTCACAATTCTCCCAAGTGTGGCACATAAAAGAGAATTTGGCTTATTGCATATAATTCAGTTTATTGCTTTTCTGGATGTAATTAAGCAAATGATATGCTGGATCTTGCAGAACCCAGTTTTAAAAGGCTTACTGGAATATCAATAAACATGCACACCACCCAGATATGTGTTTTAGGAAAACAATGTAGTGTCATAGAATTCTAAAGGTAACTCTCCTTCATCTGAGCCTAGAATCTCGGGGTCATGATGCTCAGCTGAGAGTTTCTTCTGTCTTATAAATCAGCTCTGATAGACTAAGGAAAACAACACAGAGCTATAAAATACTTCAGGATAAAGGACACAGAGGCACCCACCCCAGCCTGCCCAGTGTCTCCCTCTTCAACAGTACTTTCCTGCCACAAATATCTGTCCTAAAACTTAGCAGCTGCAATAGGTCTCTATGAGTAGATAAATAAAACCACAATGGTGTTGCAAGGAGAAGAACAAATCAGAGACACAAGTCCTTGGTACATGGTCAGTAAAGGCTTCTATATGCGATCTCTTCAAAGCTCAGGAGTGGCCCAACGCATTCATTTGTGAACTCGCCAGACATTTTTTCACCACAAAGAGCATATGCTTAACCTGTTTCTCTTGCTGACGCTATTATGGATTGCTTATTTCTACTGACTTGATACAGAAGAGTATTTTAAATGCTAAGTTACAAGGTCAGCCCAATTCATGGTCTTAGTACAATACTTCGATCATGCCAAGCCTCTTTGCCCATTTGAAGAGCCCCACCATCTCAGTCTCAAACCAGCCTGGCAAAAGTATTTTACAGCATTAAAGGAAATGAGAACCTTTAAGACAGGCCGATGTATCAGAGCTGCCTTTTGCATTATTCATTTCATCACAATGGGGGACTAAAACATTCCACAGGATGCAAAAAGATCATATGGAGATTGTTTTTGTTTTCTTCCCTTTTCACCAAAACACCAACAAACTGGCATAGACTGTTCAACTCCATTATGTTCTCTTTTAGATTTAACATACTTCAAATGAAGACGAAATTACAAATGTAGAACCCTGAATATCTACTCCTGTTCTGGTTAGGAGGCACTGCTTTGACAAGCAGCAATTCAGAGAATCCTGGCTCAGCCATGGAGGAGGATGCACCCACAGTTATAGGGCGGTATCCACGAGAGTCATTTCTCACCATTGGGACAGCAGAGGCTGGTCTTGGAGGGCTTTTCTGGATGTAATTAAGCAAATGATATGCTGAGCATAACAAAGTGGTTCCTGGCAGGACTGACTTAAAAAAACGAAAAGACATTTCGTTGCAAATATCAGGAATAACTCCTCATGAGAATGGCACAAAATGTGAAAATGGGACTCTGCACTAAAGTTCCATTTCCAAAAATAAAACAAATCCAGGCTGTTCTTTATTAAGAATTATATTTGGAAGCCCAGCATTGGTATTGTCTCATAATTTCCTAACATTCAAGTTTTTAAGCAAGCTGACTGTATGTAATTAGCCATAATCCATTCTTTGTCGTCACCATTGCACTGCTTGAAAATAACAACCAAGACATAAATAAAGACGAAATTCTTTTGAATGACAAATGGCTTGTTTTAAGGATAACTGTTTCTAAAACATCAGTAAATCATGTTATCTTTTATGGAATGTTAAAAACCTCATGCTTGATTACTAAGTATCTACATAATACTTTAGTTTAGAAGATTCTAAGTTAATGAACTGAAACCTTTATTATATCTTTATAAACCTAAAATATTTTTACTTTATTAATAAGGCTATAAAACCTGTACTTTAGCCAAATGCAAGCATGAGAATTTGAGCTGGAAATGTCACACATTCAGCTACAGTTTGAAGGAACCCAATTCATAATGCATTTTATAAATAGTTAATGACTTCTATACATAAGCTAACCAGGCAAATCAAGAAATTGTCAACATTTTTAGTCTTGGTTGTCAGTTACCACTGTCTACTGGTGCTTTACGTGTGGCTTCAGGAGAAGTCCGAAACTCTGTGCAGTTCGTAATCTTCTGCAATTTCTGGCCCATACCATAAGGGTGGAAAAGCTTCAAATGATAATATTTCAAAACATACACACGTGTGCACACACATGCATACATTCACACTCATTTAAGAGCAGTCCTCACTTTAGTTGTATGCTTATGTAAAACTTACTTTTTCTATGATTTATACTTCATACTTCAAATGAACTAGATACAGTTGAAAAAACTCTATGGAATAGATACGACAAAAATGTGACAAATTACCAATAGACTTCTTTCCCCTGAGAAGTTTGAGGTACCAAGTTTCTCTCAATACTCTAAAATGATGATAAAAGTGAGTCTGTAGTTATGAAATTAAGAATTCCAGATGTAAAGAGATTTTGGTTGATATGAACAGGATGCTTGCTTACTGATTGGCTGGTTTTCTTAAATTCAAACATAGGCACTTGTTCAGGTTGGTCTAGAAATTTGGCTTGAAATAATCTACCTACTTGACCTACACTTTGACATTTCCCAATTGAGCTCACTGTGTCTGTGGGCACACACTGCAAAACTGGGAGAAACATGAATTAACTTAGTTTAAATTAATTAAAAATTGTCATCTCTGGTACTGCTTGTTGTATGACTCTATATGGGACACACAGTATCTGCAACCAGAATGAGGCTTTACAGCCTACCACAAGCAATAACATAACAATGAGGTTGGTTTATTACTAAAGCATATATGAGAATTTAATTTCCACGTTGTGCACATGGCAAAGCAATTGCTTAAATTGCCTCACCTGGGAATTTAATGCAATGTTATCATCAGACCAGCCACATTGTAAATAGATTTATAATGCTTTCCATGTGCTGTGCTCAGTTGCATATGAATTAAGTAATGATCTGGTATTACAATAAAATCAGCTAGTTCCCACACCTGGCAAACAGGATATTTCACTAAATTAATAGCCATACAGCTACATCACAAGGCATAGGAGAGGAAACCATCTCCAAGGCATTTGACTTCAGTCTTACATGGGAAGCAAATAACACCACAGATATGTACAATGTCACTATACAGAATGAGCTGTTCAAGACAATCTGTTCCTAACATCTGTATTACTGAATTAAGACTTTCTCATTCCCATTCACTCTTGGCCTAATTTCCTTCATTCAGTTCTCTAATTACTAATCAGCAATCCGCAACATTCACAAACACCGAGAAAGCCCTTTATTCTAATCTAAATGCTGCAGACAGCCAAATAATTGATACAAAGTGCAATGTGGTTTTGGTATAATGAAAGGAACAGCTTGTCCCACTTCCTAATCAAATTGGTCTATAGCAGCAACAGTTAATAGATTTCTCTATAGGTCTAAAACAAACTACTCATGCTAGCCAGACTTTTCCAATGCTTCCACCATGGTTTTCAGTCTCCTTATATTTAATAATGCCCACAGTTACTAGGTGACACATCTATTAAAACCTGCTATGCTTTCAGAGCCAAAGAATTTCACTGCTCCAAAGAACTTAACTGCTTCTGTTATAATTAACACTTTGGGATATCTACAGAACACTATGAAATTATATTTGTTAGCAAGTCATATGACTGTTGGCCATCACTTCTTACCTAATTTTTTCTGGTTCTAATTAAATAACATCACAGCACTATAATGTCCAGCTAGTATGTTTGA